AAAGAAAATCAAGCAAATGAGACCATATCAGAGCGATATTTTCGCAAAAATCAAGCAAAATCAAGTCAACTCGCACGCAGATTCTGACCTCAGCCAACGCGTCCCCCCCAATCAGGGCTACCACACGCAAGACTACGATAGCAAATATCAAGCAAAATCAAGTCAAGTCAGACACGGATTCTGACCTCAGCCTACACGTCACCAAAGACAAGCACTACAATAAGCGACTCCACGACAGAAAAGACCAGCAACAAATCAAGACAATAAACCAGACCATGATAGCGATATTTTCGCCAAAATCAAGCAATACCACGGCAAGAAAATAAGAAAAAATCAAGCAAAATCAAGCTCACTCGGACACAGATTCCGACCTCAGCCTACACATCCCCCCAGTCAAGCAAGACAATGAGGAAGAATACGATGCTTTACCACAGCACCAAAAATCAAGAAAATCAATATCATCCCGATCAGACCAGGATAAGGATCAGGACACTATACAACAGACTAAGACAGTCACACCATCAAGAAAATGAAATAAATACCATACATAGACTACTATACGATACGATAACAGACACGACAGACTGCGATGGATGACGATAACAAGGGCATACACATGTTAGGCTTGGCGTACCATGTTAGTGTCTCGGTTGTTAGTGCCTCGGTTGTTAGTGCCGGAGTTAGAAACCACCCCCCCGCCCGTTAGATCTCTCGGTTAGGATAAAAACGTATTGCCTCGGTGTCTCGGTTCTCGGTACCCTACGCTCAGACAAGCAAAACCATAGCAAGATAAAAGCAAAAATCAAGGAAAATGAGACCACACCACAGCAATATTTTCGCCAAAATCAAGCCAACTCAGACACAGATTCCGAGTTCAGTCCACGCGTCACACCAGCCAACCACCACCATAGAAATTACGTAGCAAGACTACGATAGCAACAACACAGCCAAAATCAAGCAATACAATAGCAACAAAATAGCAACAAATCAAGCAAAATCAAGGCAGAGGGTTAGTACCCATTACATTAAGCACATCAATGGGCTGCCCGAATTTACCATATTGCAGAAGAATGAGATAGCCAGTCAATTGCGAACAAAACAAGCTGCCAAGAACACATATGTCGCAGTGTGTATGCCCATTTAATGTTATTATATCTGCTCGTGTGCGAGAGATCTTTCAACAGCTCTACCGACAAGTATACCAGAATATTAGTAAACAGGTACTTTGATTCGTTTTGGGAGTGCGTCGCACTCAAATATTTCTTTTTGTTAGGACACTACCAAAGAACCCCCTCCGCTACCCGTTTTTTGTGTTGGAAGCACGGATTTCAACCAACTTATGGGAGCGGATAGACGGAACAGAGCTCCTTAGTCGATACGATCCGAGGGCCACGATAGCCGACACATAGCAAGACTACGACAGCAAGGACGCAGCCGAAATCAAGCGATACCATAGGAACAAAATAGCAAAAATCAAGGAAAATCAAGCCAGGCCACAGCGATATTTTCGCCAAAATGAAGCAAAATAACGCTCTGAGGAACGGAGGATCCGACCTCGGCCTACGCTTCACGCCAGACTACGACAACGACAATGAAGAAAATCAAGACAATCCCCATCAGGTGGACTACGATCACAAGGACATTCCAGCCAAAATCAAGGAAAATCAAGCCAACTGGGACGCAGATTCTGACCTCGGCCTACGCATCACCCAAGTCAAGCGCCACAATAGCAAAGACCAGCGACAAATCAAGAAAATGCGCCCAGGACCAGGACCAGGAATGCAATACCACAGACTACAAAAATCAAGAAAACACCCGCATGACAAGGATAAGGATCAGGACACAATACAATGCAACAGTCCACGACAGCCAAGTCAACGATATGAAATGCAATGCCATACGATACTATGCAATACAATTCGATATCATAGTCGATCCGAGGATAAGAAAAACGAGGGCATACATATGTTAGGCTTCGCGTACCATGTTAGTGTCTCGGTTGTTAGTGACTCGGTTGTTAGCGCTAGAGTTAGAAACCACCCCCCCGCCCGTTAGATCTCTCGGTTAGAATGAAAACGTATTGCCTCGTTGTCTCGTTGTCTCGGTACCATACGATCAGACAAGCATTACCATAGCGATTCAAAGACCAAATATCAAGCAAAATGAGACGACATCAGACCAATATTTTCGCAAAAATCAAGCAAAATCAAGTCAACTCGCGCATAGATTCTGACCTCGGCCTACGCATCACCCCCAATCAGCGCCACCGCACGCAAGACTACGATATACGATACAATCAGACAAACATCACGATAGCAAGTCAAGCAATACCATACGATCAGACAAGCATCACGATAGCAAGTCAAGCAATACAATATCATCATCACAGCCGAAATAAAAGACAATCAGGCCATACCACAGCAATCCAAACGCCAAAAATCAAGCAAAATCAGACCACATCATAGCAATATTTTCGCAAAAATCAAGCAAAATCAAGTCGACTCGCACGCAGATTCTGACCTCAGCCTACACGTCACCCCCAATCAGCACCACCGCACGCAAGACCACGACAGCAAAGACCACGATGTACCATCCGATCAGACAAGCATTACATTAGCAAGTCAAGCAATACCATACGATCAGGCCGCACCATATCAATACAAACACAGAAAATCAAGCAAAATGAGACCATATCAGAGCGATATTTTCGCAAAAATCAAGCAAAATCAAGTCAACTCGCACGCAGATTCTGACCTCAGCCAACGCGTCCCCCCCAATCAGGGCTACCACACGCAAGACTACGATAGCAAATATCAAGCAAAATCAAGTCAAGTCAGACACGGATTCTGACCTCAGCCTACACGTCACCAAAGACAAGCACTACAATAAGCGACTCCACGACAGAAAAGACCAGCAACAAATCAAGACAATAAACCAGACCATGATAGCGATATTTTCGCCAAAATCAAGCAATACCACGGCAAGAAAATAAGAAAAAATCAAGCAAAATCAAGCTCACTCGGACACAGATTCCGACCTCAGCCTACACATCCCCCCAGTCAAGCAAGACAATGAGGAAGAATACGATGCTTTACCACAGCACCAAAAATCAAGAAAATCAATATCATCCCGATCAGACCAGGATAAGGATCAGGACACTATACAACAGACTAAGACAGTCACACCATCAAGAAAATGAAATAAATACCATACATAGACTACTATACGATACGATAACAGACACGACAGACTGCGATGGATGACGATAACAAGGGCATACACATGTTAGGCTTGGCGTACCATGTTAGTGTCTCGGTTGTTAGTGCCTCGGTTGTTAGTGCCGGAGTTAGAAACCACCCCCCCGCCCGTTAGATCTCTCGGTTAGGATAAAAACGTATTGCCTCGGTGTCTCGGTTCTCGGTACCCTACGCTCAGACAAGCAAAACCATAGCAAGATAAAAGCAAAAATCAAGGAAAATGAGACCACACCACAGCAATATTTTCGCCAAAATCAAGCCAACTCAGACACAGATTCCGAGTTCAGTCCACGCGTCACACCAGCCAACCACCACCATAGAAATTACGTAGCAAGACTACGATAGCAACAACACAGCCAAAATCAAGCAATACAATAGCAACAAAATAGCAACAAATCAAGCAAAATCAAGGCAGAGGGTTAGTACCCATTACATTAAGCACATCAATGGGCTGCCCGAATTTACCATATTGCAGAAGAATGAGATAGCCAGTCAATTGCGAACAAAACAAGCTGCCAAGAACACATATGTCGCAGTGTGTATGCCCATTTAATGTTATTATATCTGCTCGTGTGCGAGAGATCTTTCAACAGCTCTACCGACAAGTATACCAGAATATTAGTAAACAGGTACTTTGATTCGTTTTGGGAGTGCGTCGCACTCAAATATTTCTTTTTGTTAGGACACTACCAAAGAACCCCCTCCGCTACCCGTTTTTTGTGTTGGAAGCACGGATTTCAACCAACTTATGGGAGCGGATAGACGGAACAGAGCTCCTTAGTCGATACGATCCGAGGGCCACGATAGCCGACACATAGCAAGACTACGACAGCAAGGACGCAGCCGAAATCAAGCGATACCATAGGAACAAAATAGCAAAAATCAAGGAAAATCAAGCCAGGCCACAGCGATATTTTCGCCAAAATGAAGCAAAATAACGCTCTGAGGAACGGAGGATCCGACCTCGGCCTACGCTTCACGCCAGACTACGACAACGACAATGAAGAAAATCAAGACAATCCCCATCAGGTGGACTACGATCACAAGGACATTCCAGCCAAAATCAAGGAAAATCAAGCCAACTGGGACGCAGATTCTGACCTCGGCCTACGCATCACCCAAGTCAAGCGCCACAATAGCAAAGACCAGCGACAAATCAAGAAAATGCGCCCAGGACCAGGACCAGGAATGCAATACCACAGACTACAAAAATCAAGAAAACACCCGCATGACAAGGATAAGGATCAGGACACAATACAATGCAACAGTCCACGACAGCCAAGTCAACGATATGAAATGCAATGCCATACGATACTATGCAATACAATTCGATATCATAGTCGATCCGAGGATAAGAAAAACGAGGGCATACATATGTTAGGCTTCGCGTACCATGTTAGTGTCTCGGTTGTTAGTGACTCGGTTGTTAGCGCTAGAGTTAGAAACCACCCCCCCGCCCGTTAGATCTCTCGGTTAGAATGAAAACGTATTGCCTCGTTGTCTCGTTGTCTCGGTACCATACGATCAGACAAGCATTACCATAGCGATTCAAAGACCAAATATCAAGCAAAATGAGACGACATCAGACCAATATTTTCGCAAAAATCAAGCAAAATCAAGTCAACTCGCGCATAGATTCTGACCTCGGCCTACGCATCACCCCCAATCAGCGCCACCGCACGCAAGACTACGATATACGATACAATCAGACAAACATCACGATAGCAAGTCAAGCAATACCATACGATCAGACAAGCATCACGATAGCAAGTCAAGCAATACAATATCATCATCACAGCCGAAATAAAAGACAATCAGGCCATACCACAGCAATCCAAACGCCAAAAATCAAGCAAAATCAGACCACATCATAGCAATATTTTCGCAAAAATCAAGCAAAATCAAGTCGACTCGCACGCAGATTCTGACCTCAGCCTACACGTCACCCCCAATCAGCACCACCGCACGCAAGACCACGACAGCAAAGACCACGATGTACCATCCGATCAGACAAGCATTACATTAGCAAGTCAAGCAATACCATACGATCAGGCCGCACCATATCAATACAAACACAGAAAATCAAGCAAAATGAGACCATATCAGAGCGATATTTTCGCAAAAATCAAGCAAAATCAAGTCAACTCGCACGCAGATTCTGACCTCAGCCAACGCGTCCCCCCCAATCAGGGCTACCACACGCAAGACTACGATAGCAAATATCAAGCAAAATCAAGTCAAGTCAGACACGGATTCTGACCTCAGCCTACACGTCACCAAAGACAAGCACTACAATAAGCGACTCCACGACAGAAAAGACCAGCAACAAATCAAGACAATAAACCAGACCATGATAGCGATATTTTCGCCAAAATCAAGCAATACCACGGCAAGAAAATAAGAAAAAATCAAGCAAAATCAAGCTCACTCGGACACAGATTCCGACCTCAGCCTACACATCCCCCCAGTCAAGCAAGACAATGAGGAAGAATACGATGCTTTACCACAGCACCAAAAATCAAGAAAATCAATATCATCCCGATCAGACCAGGATAAGGATCAGGACACTATACAACAGACTAAGACAGTCACACCATCAAGAAAATGAAATAAATACCATACATAGACTACTATACGATACGATAACAGACACGACAGACTGCGATGGATGACGATAACAAGGGCATACACATGTTAGGCTTGGCGTACCATGTTAGTGTCTCGGTTGTTAGTGCCTCGGTTGTTAGTGCCGGAGTTAGAAACCACCCCCCCGCCCGTTAGATCTCTCGGTTAGGATAAAAACGTATTGCCTCGGTGTCTCGGTTCTCGGTACCCTACGCTCAGACAAGCAAAACCATAGCAAGATAAAAGCAAAAATCAAGGAAAATGAGACCACACCACAGCAATATTTTCGCCAAAATCAAGCCAACTCAGACACAGATTCCGAGTTCAGTCCACGCGTCACACCAGCCAACCACCACCATAGAAATTACGTAGCAAGACTACGATAGCAACAACACAGCCAAAATCAAGCAATACAATAGCAACAAAATAGCAACAAATCAAGCAAAATCAAGGCAGAGGGTTAGTACCCATTACATTAAGCACATCAATGGGCTGCCCGAATTTACCATATTGCAGAAGAATGAGATAGCCAGTCAATTGCGAACAAAACAAGCTGCCAAGAACACATATGTCGCAGTGTGTATGCCCATTTAATGTTATTATATCTGCTCGTGTGCGAGAGATCTTTCAACAGCTCTACCGACAAGTATACCAGAATATTAGTAAACAGGTACTTTGATTCGTTTTGGGAGTGCGTCGCACTCAAATATTTCTTTTTGTTAGGACACTACCAAAGAACCCCCTCCGCTACCCGTTTTTTGTGTTGGAAGCACGGATTTCAACCAACTTATGGGAGCGGATAGACGGAACAGAGCTCCTTAGTCGATACGATCCGAGGGCCACGATAGCCGACACATAGCAAGACTACGACAGCAAGGACGCAGCCGAAATCAAGCGATACCATAGGAACAAA